CTTCTTGGTTTTGCTGACTATGAGTTGGACCTGTTGTTGCAGCCCTTCGATGTTGCCAGCTTCTGCTGCAGTCCTCAGGGCTTTGATGCTCTCGTCGATCCCATCAGCCTCCCTCTGCAAAGCGTGGACTTTGGATGGGTAGATGTCCCGCATCAGATGGCACAACTGATTTGCATCCTCAGATTCCATCACACTCTGCAGCTCAGTTCGGAATGCGTTCAAAAATTGAATCTGTCTCGCATAGTTTTGGAAGGCTCGAGAGAATCCTTGGTCAAGGGCAGGGCAGATGCTGTTGCGGACCCAAGCCGGTTGTTCATCCAGGATCTGCCGTAATTGGGCCCACTGAGGAGTCTGTGGCATCCTTGCATCAAGCCTGACCAATGGATCTTCAAAGACCATCAGTGCTGACATCCCAAGATCGCCGGGGTCTGCAGGCGAAGCCGTCGCATCCACAACAGCAGGATCCATCGCTGCCATAAATCAACAATACAACGGCTAAACCTTTGAGCCAACTGAAAGCTCATCGTGGCAGTGCCTAGGGCACCTTTCGATTTGCAACTGCGCAGGGTCGGCAACAGACCACCAAGAAGCTACGAATCATGCTTCCCGAACCTAATCAAAGCATTGTGAAGCGTGACCATGGAACTGAGCCACCAACTTCAAGACACACCTGCAAAGCGCAGCTCAAAGGTGAAGTATTTCTCTCATTGCGCAGCCATGCTCATGCCTCCAAGTCAGAATAAACGGCGTTATATAATCGTAAAGAAAAACAGTAATGACAATAATGACATATAAAACATATATATGTCTATATATACATATACACACGCATTTCGACACCACGAAAGTTTCATCCGCTCACAGACACTTATTCTTCCACATTGGGGACGTGTACGGTGCAGCTATGCTGCTTGGCCAAATGGTTTGGAAAAAGATTCGTTCACTCTACACTCTTCGCTGTACATACACTCTGTGGACCTGAACTTATCACTAGTAATTCCTCAGACTACCCGGACTCTGCCCCATTCATTGTAGTCGAACTCTGCCGTCACCCTGACGTAGTCGATTGTTTCACCTAGAAGATCCCACCTTAGCCTTGACGGTGCATCTGCTATGTTGCTCGCTGAAGGAACACGTGTGTACCAGTTAAGACTGTCGTTTCTTGCATCTTGCATCGTGGCCTCTACTAGCATCTTCCGACATGCCGCCGACTTGGTCACACCTGCCACAAAAGCTTCTTTGACACCTTCGTTGTCGATGAAGAACAAGACACGTGCCCCCTTCAACAACTGCGTGAACTGGCTCTTCACGATCACAATCGGTACATGCTCGTGGCCAAATCCGTGCTACTCTGCCACAATCTCTGCCTGGACTTCAAGCCCGAGTGCTATAGCCTTCTCGAGGCGGGGAGACAACACAACCGCTCCACACGTGGCAACTCCACCTTCATACGCACCATCAGTGAACACTAAGCATGGTGGCTCATAGTTCACAGCTTCCAGCCTAGTGTGGGGGGCTCTCCTCAGTAACACGGCTGATTGGGTCTCCATTTGCATTCTTGGCCACGAGGGCAAGGGACTCCATCTCATTTATCGTTGCCCCCAACTCAGTCACACGGTCCTCCTTGTTGCGAACCACTACTACCCCTTCCTGTGATTGGGTCAAAGCCACTACAACCCCAAGCACAACAAACCTCCTGGACGGGGGAGTCCTTTTCTTCACCTCGTCTGCAATTACCCAACCCAACACACGGAGGGCTTCCTCCATGACAACCTGCGACTTCACAATCATGCCCTCAAGGTCGACATGTGGGAAATCGTCGAAAACTACTTAGTTGACGGCTGGCAGCAGTAAGAACCTCTGTAGGATTTCACGCCCTATTGAATGCCATCGCAGACGCTCAACTATGAATCATTCTAAAGGCCACGTGCATACAACAACTCTTTGACTGCAACGGCACCCAGCATCCGACCGCACCGGTGGCGCAGGGAGAATACGATCCGTTTGGTTCTGTGGGGGTGTAGCTTCGTTGCTTCTGGTTGCATGTCGTCCGTTCGCCGGAAAGGTGATGGGAATCCATGGCCGTTGGACGGCCACCCGGCGGAATGAACAGGGTGAGGCGGAATGACACGCGATTCAATGCATGTCAGCGGGACACTTGGTGTTTTGGCACCGGCACCTCTCCCACTCTTAAGGTTTTTCGGATGAGGTTCTTGGAGGTTTGAATGGGCCCAGGTGGGCCTTGCTATGCCGCCCACCTGTCGGATCCTGGTCCGTGCATGTCCACCCTTCATGCCCTGGGATGATCTGGTATGTTTTCTTTTGCCTTGTCGACCCTTTAGTTTTTGATGCCTCAGGCCTGCTGGTATGTGTTCTTTTTTTAATCTTTTGAGTTGTTGATGCCTCAGGCTGCCTGGCATCTTTTGGCCCGCCGAGGATGGGACTTGGTAGATGGTAGAGATCTGGCCTTGCCTTTCTGTGCACGCTGTTCTTCTTCAGTTGGAGTTTCGGAAGGACCCATCTCAGTGTGATCTAGCTCAGGAGCTGTTTGATTTGTGAGATGTTGGCTTTGCAGGAGATCTGCCCGTCCAATCTTCCACAACAACCCGTTTGGTCTTGACCTGAGATGTGAGCATGTTCACGTGAAGTTCGTGAAGCATGCGGCCAGTGAAAACAGCTCAGAAAGAGGAGCGCATGTTCAATGAAGATGTTTTCGGCCGCTCAGAGATCAGGCTTCATTTTTCGCAAGGAGGAGCCTCCAGCAGGACAGCAGATGGGAGCTGGGTTTTCTCAATGCTTCATGAGGTTTTTCCCAAGGAATCTGATTGATACTTTCGCTAACCTGTTGCTATATCCTATGCAGAGAACACGCCCGGCCACCAGGAGGAACCAAAGCCTCAGCAGGCGCACCATGACAGGGTAAGAATCCATGGATGCACAAGATTTCATGACAACCAAGATTTAGTTGGGCAGCGCCTCCTCCTCCACCATGTGAGTCACTGTTGCCAAGAAGGAATCCGTCAAGGTTCTGTGTATGGCGCAGCTATGCGCAGCTCATGTTCAATCATCGCAGCTCATGGGCCTTGCGGAACTTGCCAGGGCCTGCAGGTGCGTCTTGTGAACCTCATCCAGATGTAGTGAGAGCTTGGGAACTTGCACACTTGTTTCGGCGCACGCGCACAACAAAAGCAGGGAGGCGGGCCAACAGGTTCGAGAGGTGCAGCCCTGTCCGCGCAGGTTCCGTGATCGCCCTGACCCCCAAGGGTTGAGAGGACAGAGACATGGTCTCAGCATCCAATTCATCATTTATGCTACAGATGCTGATTTGGCGCTGCCAAAAGGGACCGCATGTAAAGGTAGCAAACCGCAACTACAAGCGCGCTACCACACGACGCGTCACGTCCTAGATCTGTTTAGATCTTTTGTTCTCACTCCGGGCTTGAGCCACATTTCGTGGCGTGTTCTTCTTGTCTTCATTTGTGAGTTCGTGAATTCAACTGTACAAGGACTGGCTGCTTCTCTTTCACGAAAAACACTCAAAAACTCATGATTTCAAATCTACACATTCTGAATTCATTTCTTGGCTGGATTCCGGTGGTTGGTCTTCCAACAAAGTCCAAACAACAGCGAGGGTCGTGAGAACCGCAAGAGGTGAGCACAGACCATCGGGGACACATCGACTTGGATCAACACTGCACAGGGATCGATGTCACGGATTTGCAGGCATCCCTCAGGGATATTCAGCCAAACACAAAACGCGTGCTCAAGCACAGACAGGAACCCAAATGACGTGTCAACGACATATCCAAAGTGCAACCTACAAGGGTGCTCACGTGGAATCCAAGACCACAGATGTACACACAGCCCAAACGCAAAGCGCCAAGGTGAACGCCAAACAAACAGAATAGGAGTGCGCAGAACTCCAAACACATGAACTGAGGTTCACAAATTGACCGTGGTCAATCCAAACGTTCCTGTTAGCGTATTGGGCAAAGCAAAGTGGCGTCACAATCCTGGTGCGAGGTGCGTGTCGTACAGTGCGTGTGTAGCATCTATCACATCTGAAGTTCACTATAATTCAACAAACTCAAATCTGCAAATCACCAAATTGAAATGCAACGCAACACGTTGCAAACAGTGCAACTCCGGAACAAACAAACAAACTGACATGCTCGTGCAATGCATCTGTGAAACACTAAGTTCACTTCTGATGTTTTCTGACCTTTGTCCGTGCACTCAGTGCAAGTGGAAACTGTCAAGACTGAATGTATTCAATTCCAATCCCTGTGTACCGGGAACATTGTGAACTGCAGTGAACGAGTGAGGGTAAACACAATCTACCAAAGAACAACGTTTCCAAAGACAACAGTTCAAGGTGTTCAACATCCATAGTACCTCTCCATGCTCGTCTTGTAGGGAACTGAGTTCGGTACACTCTGCACAGCAAGTCTTCACGTTCATACGTGTGTGCAAACAAAAGTTGACATCTGCACGACAAGTCATCTAACTACAATGAACAGTGCACAAAACACATTGATTGCAGTAAACGAGGACTAGGCAATCTCAAGGTCTTCACATGTAAAGAGATCTACCCTAAGTGATTTATAGATTGCAACTGAAAGCAAATGAACAGCAAGTGCAGGAGTCAAATCTGAATATGCACGGTGAAAACGCTCGAAAGGATAATGGTTTTGGTCACACATCTCTAGAGGTTTACACTCTTTCACACCGTACGATTTGGAAGGTGTTTGTGTCATTTTGGGGGAATTCGGTGGCCCGCACAGACGCGAGAGGTAATCATGGTAATCCAGAGGAGTGCAACACTGGGGTCAGCTGCGACAGTGGGCTTGTGCCTGTCTGTTGTTCTGGCATGCTTGCTCCGTCGCTGCCTGCGGCTCAGCGTGTCAAGGCCAAACCGTGTGGCAGTGAAGGAACATGTCAAGTCTTGGATCGTGGGGCGAAAGGAACAGAGTCCGTTCAAGTTCAGAAGCAGAGTTCCCCCCCGTCCCTCGGAGGTCGCGGTCGCGCCCGGTCGCGCTCGGTCGCCATGGACCGCGCGGCGTCCCTGCCGACCTTGCGGCTTCCGGCGGTGAGGAGCGATGCCAGGCCACAAACCGCAGTTGCCAGGTTGTTTTTGGGCGCGTGCCCGCCGGGTGGTCCATGTCGCGCCTCCGTTGTCATGGTTTTTCTCGCGGTTGCTTTTTGCTCGCGTTTTTTTTTGCTTCTCCAGGGTGTTTTGGTGTGTTTCTTCCGGAACGTGGATTGATCTCTTGGCCCACGTTTTGGATGTCGGTGCACACCAAGGAAACCAGTCGGACTCCTTGGGTCGCCAGGTCTGTAGAGCAGCCACCGGTGCTACTGGGAAGGCCGAGCAGGGGAAGATCCAGAGCAGAAGCAGGGGGGGTTCCATGTGTGACTGGAATGCCTCACCGCAAGTGGCCTGGTAGAAAGCAGTGGCCTTGTGTTTTCGGCTTCGAGTGGGCACAGGACCTGAGAGAAAGGGAAGCAAGAAGAGAGAGAAGACGGAGAACATGCATCGCTGGCATAGCTCATGAGTTTTCTCATGGTTTTTCAGTATTATACCCATGCCCCTCTGCAACACACAGCTGCTTCAGTCGGCCTCGCTTCTCTTCTTCTCCGGGCTCTCCCATCGACAGGCAGACGATCCTTTCGCCAGAGCATGGTGGAAGGGTGGCTCGGCCCAAAGACCTCACGACCTCAGACCATGTGACCGCCACACCGACGAAAGGCACTTCATTGTCAGCCACACTGGGCTCAGGAACCCGATTCTGACCATACCGTGTTCACCGGTTATGTGCAACAGAAAGCCCGGCCATCGTGATCGTTTTGGGTCACGCGATCCGGGCAGGTCGCAGCCACTCGGGGTGTTTAGGAACGACCGCAATTGCAGATTATTTACCCATCGACGTGGGCACCTCCGGCATTGCAACCTCCAGATGACTTGCGGGGGTTTCATACCATTCGACCTGTGTGGCTAAGGAGGCGAAATCCTCAACCATATTGCCTTTCCTGGCACGAGTTGGCAGACATCTTGAATGTTTTTTTTGGAAGTCTTAGGTCCTAGGTGAATCGTTCTTAGCCTTTTTCTTTCTTCAGATTGCAACCTTGGACTATAATCTGTTGAGGATGCCAAGTTGCTTCGTGCCCTTGATGCTGGTACTTTTCATCTCACACTAATGGGCTTTGCCGGTGTTTGACTGTTGGGATTAGGTCAGCGCAATATGTTTCTTTTTTTGTAGTCCATGAGCGTGTGCCCCTTCTCACGTTCGATGATGGCTCAAGCAAGCTGCTGGGATTTTATCAGGCCGAATGGTGTGCGCTTATGCCGCTTGGCTGCGTTCTTGCGGATGGGTCGCGGAGTTGTTGAAGCGCTTGGGTGTTCGGATGGGCTGGACACAACGCCGTACAAGATGTGACTATAGAAGATGCTGCTTGGACCAGGATCTAGGAGATGGGGGGAGATGGTAAAATCCTCAACATTCATGTGTTTCATGTGGATCACCGAATGATGGCTTTCCGCCTGCGGCGCAAAGTGCCCATTTCCCTTTCTACGACGTAAGTGGGTTTGCTCATGCGATGGTTTGTCGCCTGAGACCCTGGATCAGGTTCGCCATGGCCAAGTTGAAGCCTCAGACACCTCAAACCTTGCACCTGGCAGGCAACCCATTGCAGTTGCAGGATGTTGCAATAGATTGGCGGCATCGTGCGCCTGCTAATGGATGAAAATCCAACTTCCTTTAGCCGTGCTACCTTCCAGCGACGGATTGTTGAGCCGTGCTGTGATCATTCGTTCTGCTGGCATGTCATCCTTGGCATTTCCTTTATGCAGCCACTTTTCTGTTGCTTCCCGTGTCCCAAGAAGGCTAACTTAACCGATATGATATGCTGCTGACTTGAGTGGACCATACCAAATAACAAGGCCCTTGAGAGAAATCAGAAGGATTCAGGTTTCATCCTTCAGGTTGTGAGTTTTGTTCTTTTTGATTCTTCACTCAGTCGACTCGGACTCGGAACCGTACAACACGGCCAGCGGCGCTGTGTATAGCTGCCATCACGGGTAAAGTTAACTGGGGGAAGAGTTGCAGAAGCCTAGCTGTGAAATTAGTCTTTCAATCTTTCCATTCCTGCTGAGCAAGGCCTGAGAGTTGAGCAAAAGGCTCTGAAACCCACCATAGGAGAACCCCCCCCATGCAGTTTGTAAACGTTGATAAACGTTGCAGCTCAAGCCTGCCACTGTGCCCTTGCAGATTCCTAATGAGATGCTGCAACGTCAATGGTCACACATTTCATAACAGCAGTGCTGTCTTAGGAATTGATGTAAGTTTGTGGTCGTTCTGCCGTGTCAGCCAGGCAACATGAAAGTATTGAGATCTTTCCTTGCTAGTGTAAACGTTCTTTTTAGACCCGTTGAGCGCGCGTGCCGAACCTTCTGACCGAGGTCGTTGTGAGGTGACAGGGAGAAACAGGACAGGGATTAGGTGACTTGATGTCAGGGATGTTGTGATGATAAGGGTGGTATAAGGATCATGTTGCTACTTTCAATCAAAGGAAACCTTCATGAACCCTTGAGTAGCCCCCTAGAGAAGGCCCATTAATATGTATTTTATTTTTTATATATATAGACAGGATCGATCAATATTTTGGTCTTGGACCAGGGATACTTAAAGAAGAGCTAAGCACCACTAGGTGGGCCATCACTGGGCCAGTCGCGCCTTTTCTGTAGGCTTTAGTGCCACTTGAGTCGAGCTGCTTGAGTCGAGTTCCACATGGGAACCCACCATGCCAGGATGTTCCGGACATGTCTTTTCCAACCCTGGAGAGTTTGCAAACTAACCAGTCCAGCCAATTTGAGCAGATTTGTGCAGAAAAATCCGAATGCACTCCGCAGAGAATTACTTGTGCTCAGAGAGGGTGCCTTGACTCAAAGAAAATCGAACAGTTCGAATAGTCGGGCCATAGCAGCCTAGCCTTGGCGCCTTAGCCTTCGAGCATCATGGGTTGCACCAACTCTCGCGGCCATCCGATGACTCCCGAGACCCCCTTGAAGTTGGCCGAAGGGCGAGATGACACGAAGGACGAGAACGAGTGGCTTGGACCTTGAACGAGTGGCTGCCGCGCTTTTCTCCCCTTTTCCGTGGGCTTTGGGAGGGATTTCTTGGAGGAAAAGATCATGATGGGGAGATGGTGGCCAAATTGAGGCATTTCCAAAACCACCGGCGCGCTAGTGTGTTTGTTGAGCTGTTTCTAGTAGGGCCCCTCCGGATTTCGAGAGCTGGCTGGCTGTGTTTCTGATATCCGCCCCTTTGCGCGCCCTAGGATGCAACGTGCCTTCTTCGATGGGATCCTGCACACAAAGTTTGCTGGTGGGCCGATCTATTTCCAGCCGCTTGTCTGAAATCGGCATAAATCGGCTGCAATGTGTACTTGCTGTCCGCAGATGTGCTATTGGGGGATAGGGATTTTGACCTTCGACACCGGGGAGTGCTTTTTGCTATTGCGTACTTCTCAGATAGACGATCACCAAGAACTCCCCCAACATTTGTTTTGGGCATGGAGAGCTTCGCGTTGGCTTCACGGCCCTAGGCCAACCTTCGGAAGTTACAGCAGCTACAGCAGCTATGGCAGTTACAGCAGCGTGGCAGAGGAACAGGAGGGATCCAAGCCGCGCAAGGCATGATCCGAGTAACCGAGGGATTGAGGCCAAATCTGGCCCGCCGATGTACTCAAGGAGGGCGATGAAACAAATTCACCCCGGCTTTTTGTACAGGCCTCGAAGCTTGGGCACATCGCAACCCGTCAAATCGCACTTTGAAATGACTTGGTCTTCAATGGTAAGAGTGAAAGACTGAGTGACTAGGCTGAGATCCACATACTTCTCTGTTGCACAGACCTGCTTTGTTTCAAAACTTGTGCAGCGTGTTCATGGTTCCTGTAAAGTATTTTGGTGCGCGGAAACCTGCGCTATTGTCGGAAATCACAGAGGAGAAAACAAATTCCTGGCGCGCTCGACTTGTCAGCTGAGTTGAGGGTGGCATGTTTGGTAAAAGTGATGAGAAACACACCGCGTTGGTGCTCTCCCCCAAGTTCCAACAGTTCCAACCAATTGGCCAAAAGAAGCACGCGCTTTTGTGTTCTTTCTGTGGCCAAGGTCGCTCATGACATGAATTTTTGTGCATTCCCTGTCTCGTCACTGGGTTTCTCAGCCCAGCAGCCCAGCTACCGAGACGTTGTCCAGGAGGCTGACCTCCAGAGCGGCACAGGCTTTTTGGGGCGGCACAGCGCTGCGTAAGGCCAGATGTCATTCCAGAAGTCAAGATGGAAGTGGATACATCACCATTTTACGTATTAGGGTCTTTTTTGCCGAAGAGTCTCAGTACATGGTGAGGTTCAACTCTGACCATTTAAAGGTAGCTTCCTGGTGTGGATGTGACGTTGGTAAGACTCGGGGTGCAAAAAGCGAGCCAAAGCAAGACCTGAAGTTGAATCCACAAGAATGTTTGAGACTCTTGACGCTTTGAGAGCACCTGGAAAGAAGGTTGATTGTTTGTGTTCGGTATTTCCATTTCCATGCGATGATCATGAGGTTGAGTTTGCGAACATGCTGTCCAGGTCGCAAAACATGCAAGCTGAGGGGCCGAGGGGTCCTTTGTGGAGAGCCGGCGTTACAGACTTTTCCGGCATCCAAAGGCTTCTTGAACGGGATTCACATGTTTTCACATTGCGTTGTGACTCGTGACCAATTGGTGCCGCTTCTCGAAGCCATTGGGGCCTTTGGCCGGAGATGCCGGCCAGAAGCCGAAAGATGCTGTAGAAGACCTGCGAGTTGTTCTGCTTCTGCTGGGCATAGCGGTAGCGTATAAAACAACCTCAGCGCTGCTGTTTGCACTATTCATCATCGCGACTGGCCAGAATCAAAGGGTGGGAGCTTGGATCATAGTTTGCCGTCAAGGTCTTCGTCTTTGCGACCTGTCATGTCTTGATCTAGTGGCCAGGTCACCCTTACAGCAAGCGGCCCGATCACCGCTCCAACAGCCAAAGGCGTCCCGCAGGTGCAGCATGGGGGGATGAAGGGAGGACCAAATGTATAAGACACCATATTTTTGAATCATCTAGATTCACGTAGATGAAGATCAGATATCCGACATGATTCATATGTGCTCCTTTGTTTTGCTCGGAACCCCGAACTCCCCACGCAATGAAACCTCACCTTCTCTCGGTGCGTCTGCGGCCATCGGCCGCGCAGGACGCGGCGGACGAAGACCTGGGCCGCCTTGGAGGTCTTGGAGGCCGACGCGGAAGCGGCGAGGCAAGAGCTCGAGGCGCCGAGCGGTCTCCTTCGGCTTGTTTTTATGTCTTCTGATTCCGAAGCCAGCGAAGCATCCTTGGAATTGGCAATGCTTGAAGCACTCTAAAGTGCCTTTAAGCATTTTAAGTTTCAATTGTTCTTTTCGGATGCTGGGATGTCCTTGGCCTTTTGCATGGAAGAAGCTTCGCCAACTTCACCTCAAACTGGCTAACCACAACCTGGACACTCCTTTCACCACCATCTTTTTCACCATTTGTTCGCCCCCCCTGGATCTCACCGCGCCCCACGTGCCTTAGGCCGAGGGCCACACGCGGCGGCACGCGCGGCGGAAACAGCGTACGAAGACCTGCCCCAGCAGCGCACTACAGTGCCTTGGGATGGGCGGGAGGAGGATGAGAACGGTGGATGAGAGTGGTGGAAGCAATTTGCTTTCAATTGTACACATCATTACAAAATATTACAAATCAATAGTTAGAGGATAATGAAATCTAATGAATCTTTCTCGCGTGAGGAACATCATCACTCTGTATTCATTCTCGCTAGCGCCCGATCAAGAAGCCCAGAGAGGCGGTGAGTTTGGCGCACGCTGGCGGTCCGCGCGAAGCCCAGGAATATCCAGGAAGATCGGGAGGCCACCAGTGCCACCATGCGCGTGAAGCGTATCGATTCGCCGGTGTCTGAGGCAGGTGGGCGAGATGGATGGGATGCGATGTGGGGACTCTGGGATGTCGAACCATGAGTGCTTGGGAAGTGCGTGGGGACTGTATTGGCTGTGTCGTGATGCTTTTGTGAGGCGTCACAAAAGGCAATTGAAACATGTTGCCAGGGCCGATCCTTGAAGTATCCGGGCTCTCCGTTGAGCTCGGCCGATAGCCTGTCCGGCCGACCCAAGTGTGATGGGCCCGGCGGGCCGGGCGGCTTTCAGGCTTCCAGAAAAGGTAGGTCCAGCATGGTTCAGTGGATTTCTTTGTCGTGTGCCTTTCTTGGCGTGAAGCAGCAGGTCACAAGTGTGTCTCGACTCTTGATTGAAGAAGCGCCGCATATGAATTGGATTTCCAATTCCCTAGAAGTCGAACCACCATTGTTTTAATAGCCTGAATCCCGAACAACCATTGTTTCACCAAGAGTGTTACGCTACAAAACCAGATCGACCATGTTAAAAATGGTCGACTTGACTTCCAGGGAATTCCCATTCCGGGATGACACGACTCTATCGTTCTGCCTCCACCCGAGGCCTGAAGCAGCTGCCTCGGCAGTGCACACGCCCTCCACCAGTGCGTCCACCCCGGGCGCGCAGGTGTCACCCGGCTGCCCACGGAAGTGGTTTCCATCATTCGATCGCGAGGCGATCCATCAGGGCATGAAAAATATATAGGTGCCAGTGGCTGCCAGTATAGTCAGGTGCATGAATCAGCATGGAGCTTTCTTCAAGAAGTTCCTTTCAGGAGGGTTTAGGGTTTAAGGTTTAGGGCTTCCAGAAGGGTTCGGGGTTCTGGTTCCGGGTTTAGGGCTTTGGGTTCGGGTTAAGGTTCTGGGTTGGGGAGGACATGGGTGAACATCCTTTTGTTCCGTCCACCCCGTCCACCCCGTCCACCCCGTCCACCGTGCCGACGACGGCGTTCCGGCGGCCGCCCCGCCGAGGGTGATCCAGAATTGGCGCTCGGGTGCTGCGATAGGCGCGGCGGAGGGGACCGCGGGGACGGAAACGTGCGGGACGTGACGTGTGGGGAGTTGGGAGACCAACGAATTTGGGGTTCGACCTGGTCTTTTTCCAGGTCATTCCTCTCCAAAATGCCCAAATCCCGCGTGTTCGCGCGCGCGTGTTTGGGCGAGACCTCCTTCGTGGCCGATCCACCGCGTCTCGCGTGACCCGCGTCTCTCGGGCAGGGCACGGGTCGTATGGCTCGGTCGCCCGGGCCCTGGACGTCGACAACGGCTTCATCTTTGCCGTGAAGAAGTCTACGGTGGGGCCCGAGCGAGCACGGAGCGAGCACGGGGCGGGTCGAGCTGCGACCCGAGCTGGGTGGAAGGTTTGGGTGGACGACTTGGAGGGTCTTGGGGGCAGCATGGGCCCTGGCACTGCTGGAATTTTCGGGTTTTCAGTGGGAAGGAACATCCAGAAGAGATGTTTTTTTCTTCCTTGGTGTCTGGCATCGAGTCATCGACGCCGAATTTCAGTGGGAGCTCCTGCAGTTGGGCTCTGCCGGTTGAGCTTCGCGACATGAACCGCGTGAGGTCGGTGGATCTTTTCGCGTGAATGGCCGTTGCCAGGTTGGCAGCTTTGATTTCTTTCGTAGCCTTTCTCCTGATAGGTGACCCAGTGTGATGAGGAGGACCGCAAGTACCTGGAAAGGCTTCGAGAAGAGCTCGACGCTTGGCTCGTATTTGGAGAGCATGTTTATTGGCTCAAGACCACTGATGGGGTGCAGTGTTAAGTGTTAAAGATGAGACCCAGGAAAGCAACTGGAAAGCATTGGACACGGTCCTCACCACCAGTGAGGTTATTAGGGATTTCTACTTGCGATGGTTCCGGATGGTTCTCTCATCTTCTCCCTTAGAAAGGCTCTTAAAGGTTAAATATGGTTTTATGATGTTCCCTTTCTCTTTGTCTTTCGTGGGCACCGTGTTTCATGCACCCGTTTACTCGTACTCCTTATTTCTTCCCGGTGCCCCCTGTCTGGTAAGAAGCTGGCTGAGGATATCCTCAGGTCGCTGCGACATCCGAATATCATCTGCACCTGGGATGCTGAGTTGACCGGGTCAAGGGGTTGACCCGGGTGGGGGAGGAGAGGGAGCCAGAGAGGGAGGTGAGCGTGAGGTGAGGGGGAGTCCAACCTGCAAGCTGTGGGACCTTCGGGATAGATGACATGGGAGGACCGTGGCATGGGACTTGAGCTCATGCTCCGGGACCTTGGCATAGGTGAAGCGAGGTTGCTGCGGGACGTTGGCTTGTGATTCTGTCTCACTGAAGTTGGCTCTGCGCCTTTCATGCACGTCGAGTTTGGGCTGAACTTGTACCACAAGCCAAGGGTTCTGGCGGCAGCGTTTCCATCTGAAGGTGTCTCATTAGTGTGACCGAACCCATCAAATCCCAGCGGTTTTTAAGAGCAAACTCGTGCTTGGTGATGGTGTATGTTGCAGTAAATCAGCAATCGTAATCAGCAGCAGCTTGATCAACCAACCGCGCTTGCCTGCCATGCTGGCATGCTCATAGCTCGTGCTGCATCCATGACCTCGGCTCCCGAGGCTACTTGGGTCACGAGTACACCGGCGGGACCTTGTGCCCCCTGATGACCTCGTTTTTGGGGAGGGAGGTGGACTACTAGCAACAAGAAGCTACTAGGTTGGAAGCCATCGCTATTGGGGTAACAGAGTAACAATGGTAGGTCCTGGATAGTCCTGGTAGATCTTGCTTGTTCTTCTCAGTGTTTTGCTTATTTCTTCGAGGTACATTTTTATGGAACTCGCTGAGGGCGGGCCTTGACCTCAGGAGTTGAGATGCCGGCCGGGGGTGTGGTCGGTGGAAGTCTTGAAGCGTCGCTTGCTTTGTGTGACCAGATCCTGAGGTCTTTGTCAAAGCTACTGAAAGAGTTCGGAGCTTTAGAAGGTGAGGGCGGAGCTGCAATTTGACCTTCACAACATGGGATTGGCTGCTTGTTGCCCATGACGTGGCCATGTGGAGCAATTGAGCTACATGTGTGTGCAAGTGATCACGGTCAACTCGATGATATTAGTAAGTCAATGTAAGTCATGCAAACATGCATCCAATGGCCTGCACAACTCCAGTGCTGATCCTCCCATTCTGGGCACTTCACCGGGCGACTCATGTCATCGCCTGGGTTCGGTGGGTCATCGCACGACTGGTCCCCGGACGTCGGTGGGCCGATTTGGGTGGCAACTCGCGGTGTCCAAATGGGGTGCCAGGTGAATTGCTGCGCAACACCATTTCGGGGATGCTCTCAGGCGCCGGGGAAACGGGTCAGAGCCGCAGGTTTGGGCGCACGGAACCCGCGCAGACCCGAATCGGCGATGCACGCGGTGGGCGACGGCAGGTCGTTTCTGCGTGAGATCGTTGGAGTGAGGGCATCGAAAGGTGCCGGTGAAGGGATTTGCTTGGTCTTTATCAATGAGGCAGTGAGGTTGTCTTTTGGTAGCATTCATCCGGTGACCTTGGCTATTGGCACCGGGGTGGAGTTCACTTGCATTACTACAGGGCCAACATGGACCAACTCAGTGGAAGATCCTGAACCCGGCCTCCGCGCGGAGCGCCCGTCGGACCCCGTGCCGCCAGGACTCCAATACTTGCACACCCGGAATCCCGTGGTGGTCCATCGAGACATCAAAAGCGCCAACGTGTCGCCTGGCAGCGCCGGGACCGCGACCACCGCGAGAAAAGGCGATGTCTGGGGGAGGCACACGGCATGGGGCGCACACAGCAACGCACCGATGTTTGGATGGAGACTCGCCACGCTGGAGGGCCCTAGTTTTGCGATCCTTCGTGGGTGTTGATGTTCGATGCTAGTCGTCCTTTTTGGGGAAAGGGAGAGGCTTTTCCATCTCTTTCCGGCAGCAACGGGCTCTCCAAGCAATGCCCCAAAGCCTCCTGAGTGCCAAGGCTCTTGGATTTGGACTTCAATGTCAAATTGGCTGACTTTGGCTGTTCGAAGCAAGTCTATGCCTGGAACTCATGATAGGCACGCATTGAGGCATGGTCAGGCTTAGTTCTGTTGAAGCCGAGCTTGACATAGAGATGTTGGCCCTTTAGTGTGCACATTTACTGATAACTATGGGAATGCGACAAGAAGGATTCGTGTCTTTCACAGTTCGAGAGCTCCATGTGGTCCACGTGATTCATCCAAACTTGCCAGCTTCTGGTCTCCAACGGAGCTAGCCAAGCCATGACTGGCTCAGACTGAGGATATGTCCACCTCCTTTCATGCCACTGGCTCGTTTTCGTGGATGGCTCCAGAGGCGAAGTCTTTCGTTTTGGAATTTTAGAAGCACATCTGTTCAGAGATGTAGCCTTTTGAACAAGTTATTGGCTTTGGCTGAAAGAAGGAAGCAGGTGAATGTGAACAATTTTGGGTGTAAGAGAACCCTGCAGGTCATTCTGGAGAAGCAGGGCTTTGGACGAAAGGTGCCAGAGAGCAGGGTTTGAGTTCCTTAGAGGGAGCTGCCCCATTCTTTTTTCGGAGCTGTTCTCCAAGAAAACGCCACACTCCTCATCCTTCTCTTCCTTATCCTCCCCGCTGGCCACAGACACCACACACACCACACACCATACACAAGGACAAAAAGCACGAACCCCCCACTGGTCGCAAACCGCTACGGTGCCGCCCCGTGCTCGACCTCTCCGCCGCTGAACCGCTTTCCGCCCCACAAGGCCGACGTGTGGAGCTTCGGCTGCACGGCGCTGGAGTCCTCGACGGCGCTGCCGCCCTGGGGCAAGGGCGCCATCGAGGGGATGCTGTCGGCGGTGAGGCGGCGCGCGCGGAGTGGATGAGCTTTGCGGTTCGGCGGCGCGGAAGCGGCGTGAGCGCGGCGAGAGTGGAGCAGGGGGGGGAGCTTGATGAGAGGGGGATGGATATCCTCCATGAGACGAGTGTGTCAGCTATTCGCTGCAGGATCATCGGCTACTCGCAGCAGACGCCGCCCATCCCGGACCGGTCGACGCACGCGTCCGCTCAGACGCGTCCCGCTGGGGATGGGCTTGTGGGGATGGGTCCTGCTGACGCGTCTGCTCAGAGGGGCCTTTTCTTTTTGAAGTGCCCGCAGCCTCAAAAGCAGTTCCTCTTTCATTTTCTGCAAGTATAAGTTATGTCAGTTATGTCATGTTCTTTGTGGGTTATGCTGGTGTAAGTAGAGCCGCTGTCAAGGGTGGCCCTTAGATGATCAGATAGGCTTCGATGGTTTTGCAGTGATTTGGCCTGTCGTGATCGTGTTCAAGTGGACAGGTGGGCTCTGTCAGGAGAGAGCGCACCTTCTCCTATAGCCTAGCATTCCGAGGGCATTGCTCCTGTCCCAAGAATTGGTTTAAGGATGTGTAAGGGAAAACCTACAGGAAACCATGGTTTTCAACCCCCAAGTTATACTCTAGTATAATGGGTTTCCTGCTAAATTGGTCCCTGAAACATGCTTAAACCTACTCCTGGGATCCTCATCAAACGATTGAAACACTTGCGGATCCGTGAGGAGTCGACCCCCTCCAGTCTCAAGAGCCTCTTGCAGAGCTGTTTACAACGCTCTCCGGATGCCAGGTGCAAGCGAGGGGTTTTGGGGGGCTTGGGGTGGCTTTGTTCGGGTGGTGTTGGCCAAGAAGAGCAGCCGAGCCTCCGATGCACGCACGGTGACTGATGATGTCATGCAGTCATGCAGTTATATAGGTCTTGGTTTCCAAGCATCCCAGATCGCTGATGGGTGGGTTTGCGCCATCCGCACATCGAGCCACATCGAGACTCCGGGCCGCAGAAGGACCGTTCCTCGGAGATAAGCAGGTTCCGGGTTCGGGGAGGTCATTTTGGTTTCCTTAACTCACCAAGCCACGCCAGACAAGCCACTTCGCATTCAAGACGAACTGACGAGCTTTGTTTCACCAACCTCCTTTGTCAAAACAAGATGAAGACGAAGACGAAGGAAATACAGAACATATGAATCGTAGGAGAATGTGACAATGAGTCGGTTTAAGTTTAAGGGAACATCTGCAGGAAACCCACAGTTTTCAGGGTGAAAACCATGCCCCATCACCAACACCAACCCGCGCGCCACGGAGGCCGACCGCGACCGAACTGCAGAGCTCCTCGGACGAGAGAAGTTTGGACCTGGAAAAAACCGCTTCAGAATTCTCGGATCTTGGCAGATCTTGGCAGACCTGGCCGAAGATCCCAGAAGCGCAATCGGTTGCAATTGTTTACATACTTAATTTCAAAATAACGATGTCTGACTTGATGTTTTCCATTGTTTTCCATAAACTTTCAGCTTTGGGCATGATGTCCAGGGGCTCCCTTCATCTCCCTTGGCTCATTTTGCCATGGCCACCTTGGCCCAGCCACAGAAAGAAGACCAAAAGAAGACCCAAGGAAGCAGCAGAACGCTAGCAGAGCTCAACCAGTTGTTTCCCCTGCCACCTCCCCAGATCTCTCTATACCTGCTAGAAATCTTAGCAGCGTTGCAGTTCTACTCGTCTCTGGACGAGTCCTGAGGCCACGAGTACTTCCTCATGCCGATGAAGGAGCCAGTCCCATACGGTTTGAAGGATGAAGAAGGCAAAGGATGAAGAGGCTTTTCTATGAGTTTGCTGTGTTGCTGTATTCTTGTTCAAGACAGTTTCGCCACCTACTTCCAAGTTCATTCCTTAAATTTAATGTATAGTTTTTCGATTTGGTCAAAGCTTGACAAATGGTGACTGCTTCATGGTGAGTCAGTCCTTGTGCGGTGTCAGGAGCGGAGGCGTCAGGTCGCTTGGTGTTGAGCGAGCGCCACGCGCCACTCGGCCCTCAACTGCCAGCGCTTTCACTCGCGTTTCGCGCCGCGCCGCGGCGGGGGATCGCCATTGTCGTCGCGCGCCGTGATGTGCGGACCTCCAGGCAGCCTCATGGATGTTGGAGCGACGTGATGTGGGGTTTTCAAGGAACGGATCTGATCGGAATTCATTATTCCCAACCTACTGCCCACCGGCAGTTCTGTGGATTTGCATCTCTTCGCAGTGTTTGGGACCTTAAGGCCAAACGTGGGCAGTAGGCATCGCGGGGAAAGCCCGCGATCGTCCAGGGCCTTCGGTTGGAGCAGGTGGGAGCATGAGTCTCAACTCTTCCGAGTCCTTGACCCTTTAGGAGCGCGTTGGCTGCCCAACCGCGCTGCTAAACATTCTTAGAGATTTCTGCTGTAGCGTGGCTGCTGCTGCCTAAGCTGCTGTTGCGTTGGATCTGGTGAAGCGGATCGCCGTCTCCCACAATCAGCCAGTTTTGTGCTGATGAGTCGCACGCTGAGCCTCTCCTTCTCTTTTTCTTGCCTCCTTCCTTCCCCGCTTTTCTACAACGCCTTCCTTGTATTTGTGGTGCTCGCAACAGGTGCAGCAAAAGCGAGCGAAATGTGATTTTCTCATGTTTTCTCCAGATTGTGCCCACCCAAAGGCCACAGCCAAAGGTGCCTGGACATTGCATGGAACACAGCAGAGGGTTCCACCTGTTCAAAGCTTTAAGGCTGAGAAGGATACTGGGGGCAAAGCAACAAAGTTGGAATACCTGCGCAATCAAGGATACATCTAGATAGGAGCTGCTTTTCTTGCGCGAATGGACCACACAATGGATTTGCATCCGCCCATTGTTTGTTGGGTCAACGTAGCACCGGTGTTCTCGGTGTCCCCTCAGCCGAGCCATTTTTCAGACACGCAGCCGCCAAAGAGGAGGATGCGTCGAACCGGTGTCCGAGAGGGGATCTTGAAAAAAAGAGATTCGTATAGGCAGTGCTAGGCATGGGAAGGAATGGTCCCATCCCGTGGGAGGAGGATCTGATGGAATGGTCTCGTTTTCGACTGGAAAGCTCTGGAAGTGATGGTCTTACATGCGTGGCTCGCTGAGCCCCTACATTTTATACAAAAGGAAAACAGGCAGGGCCAGGGCCACATGATTTGATTACATCATATTACATCAATAGTCCACAGTGTTTGAGATGTTATGGCTGAGTGAAGCCCAGAACCGGATGAGCCCACCGTTTGACTCGAACATGACTCGCTTAGTTACTCGCTTGACTTGTTTGACTGGCCCAAGCTGCCTGAAAAAGCTGCCTCCTCCCCATGCGGGGAAGGTTTGCGCTGTTTGTACGCCACAGCCTGCCCAATCGGTAGTGAACTTTTTTTTTGGCGTCGAGCGGCCTGCCAACGGTGCCCGGGGCGGTTTGGAGCATCAGTCCTCGGTAGGCAAGCCTCGATCGAACGCAAGCCAAGACGGTCTGATGTCACTGGCGGAAAGAACCTAAGAACCTGGGTGAACCTTAGTAGTTGGCCCCCAATGATTTTGTTGATTTGCACACGCACCTGACCGATGAGCCGCATGAGCCCCGGGCGACCAAAAAGACGACCTTTCCAACTCTCGCGCGGTGTCCCACTCGGTTCTCTGCGGTGTCCGGGTGGTACTCATGCGCTTAGCGCCCAAGAGAGGCGGTGGTTCTCTGTAGAACTTCACGATGCATGACTCACATATGACCATGAGTTTCAGAGGAGAACACTCCGGTGGAACAAGGGACACCGTGACTGGGCCCCCCTTTGTGACCAGTCTGGTCTACAACCACCGGCTGTGCCACCGGATTCTGTTTCCAGGGACGGAGAACAAGGCGTGTGGGAGATCTCCACCCGGACCGGGCACAAGTCCCGGCAGGCTGCCACCTGTGTAAAGTCAGGTGTGTGGCCAGAGGCGATGGCCGCAGTGCGCACACAGTCTGTGCTCATTCAGCTGGCGCAACGCCAGGTCCCAGACGCTGGGGCTGGAGGCACTCGGGGTTGGGGTTCTCAGAGTAAGATGCTCCTTTGGCACCTTTTGGGATGCTTCCAACGGCCACTTCCAGAACCCCCTTGGGGCCCCGAAGGTCACTTCCATCTCCACTTCCAGACCTCCTTCCCAAGCGGACCTGCAGCGCGCGAGAGAGCCAGACTCTCTCACCGCTCTGGCTCCTTCAGGAGTGCATTTGCAGGTGCGGTCGGAATCCATTTGGGGAGACGCCAAAGAGATGTGCCATGCCACGGTTTCGCCAAGAGATGCTTCCATTTTCTAGCACATGTTTGCCACTGACTGCTGGACGTCCCACGTGTCCTGGTACATAAATTTAAGAACCTGACGGCTCACCTGCGAACAAGAGCTCAACGTGGCCCATCCGCCATTAGACATGCCAAAGAAGGACAAAGGAGAGGAAGAGAACGGTTTTTTTTCTCAAATGGTCATTCAGTCATTCATGGTTGCAAGACGGAGATGACATGTTCTGAATCTGTGGTGTTTTTTGGGGTTCCCATTTGCTTGACAGCAGGGCTGAACGGCCATTTTTATGGCCCTAACATCTGGAGACATTGATGTCATGCGCGAGTGGTTAGCTCCAACTTCATAGGGTTTCAGGATGTGTGGCGTTTGGTGCTGCAGATTTTGGCTTGTGTGTTAGCAATGGCAACTCAGCAACATCATTGGACCAGACACATCCAGACACCGTACAGCTACTTGTAAGACTTTTTTGAGCCCATAATAGACCGCACCCCAAAATGTAATATGGACCGTCCTTCATGTTAGTCCCTTTTTTGTTTGTCGGGACCCGGTGTATTATGAAAAAACATCGAAGCTTTTTTGACCCGTTTGCCACCAAACGCCCTTTTTGTGCACCCCAAACTATGCGTTTTAGCATGACGATGCGCTCCGAGAGTCTAAACCATTGCTGTTTCAACTCGCTGATCTCACTGATCTCTGGTGACATGTTCCAGCACGTCTTGCTGCGGCATTTCTTTCTTCGCTTGCTGCGTGAATCGCACCCGATTTGGCCATGGTTGACTACTCCAAGTGGGACAAACTCGCCAAGACCTCAATCATGTCGAGGCATGTTTTCTCCGGGGCATCTACACGCGAAGGGGCGGGTCGCTCTCCACTTTCTGATCAGATTTGGATACTCCACCTTGTCATGGTCACTCCAAAAAAGGGGCTCCTTGATTTCATGATCCTCATCACTACAAGTCACTACAAGTGTTCCTGTGCTTTTGTCCTTGTTCGCTTCATTTCCCTTCATCACTTGCCCTTGTTCGCTTCGTCTCCCGTGAGCCGCCTTCGCCACATCTTGCCCAGGACCTGAGCGATGAGGAGGAACCCCGACCGAAGCGGCCAGTGGTCTCCAAGTTCGAGTCGCCGATGAGCGTGACCATCGGCGGAGATGGCATGACGAGTTCAGAGGTTGGGGGTGACGGGCTTGGGGGGAAGGAGATCCCACGAAGAGTCGAGGTGAAGAACACTGTTGTTTGGATTTCCTTTTGTAGGGGGTGGAGAAGGATGGGGTGGGTTGTGAGGTGAAGAACAGTGAGGTTTTGGCTTTATAAATCACTTTGGCTCCTAAACGGGTTTGTTCATAGAGCTCATGCGCCGCATTACGCCACTAGTTAGTTGTTGATTGTGCAGAAAGTAAAACAGCATCATATGCGTGTGTGGGAAGGGTTTTTCAGTGCTGCTGCCAACCGTATGGGGGTTCATCATGAGCTGAGCAGCCTGCAGCCTGCCTGGTGTTGGCAGCACGGAATGCCCCGATTCGGGCACTGAAACACCTCCGAAGACTTGACGATGGACCCCCAAAGGTCCAGTCTGAACAGTCCTGCTGTGGGACAGTCCAGTCTTGCTGCCATCCAAGGCTGAATTTGTGGGTGTGTGCATTTTGGGATACGCGCGCACTCGCGTGGCGTATCCCAAGATCAGGGGACACTGCCTTCGCTCTCGGAGAGCAACTGTAGTAGGACAGGCGGAGGGGTCTCAGTGATTTGGGGGTTAGGCTGCCCCCTGTTGTAGGAACACGTCATGATTTCCAACACATGTTTGGAATGTGACACACGGCAGGCAGCGGCTGATGTGGAGATGGAGCCATGGCAGAGGGGGAAGAAGTGCTTGAGAATGTGGGACTCGGCCAGGTAGGTGATTGATCACCCAAGGATTGAACATATATATATATATATATATGTGTGTGTGTGAAGTCAAGGAGTCAAAGCAAAAAGGACTCCCCAACTTCTTCGAAAGCTCGAAGTCGAGACCGAAACGCAAATCGGGATGTCTCCTGCTAAGAGGGGGTTCTCTTATTGGAGACTAGGGGGGTGATGCTTCCCCAAACACATCATGTCATAGCCCGAAACATGATTTTCCTGTTTGGTTTCCATGCGTGCAGTGTGTGTGGCCGAGGAGGACGATGATGAACCTTTCGAGACAGAGGTCGCTTGGAGATTGAAAGCCGGGTTGGGGTGGCTTATATAATATACTATAACTCCTAGGGGGATGAAGATGATGAAGGTATGTCGGATATTGGCCCGAGTGAACGATCCTGGAGCAAATCGATCAAGTATGATGTTGAGGTAACTCAAGGAGATGGTGAAGCGTGTAACACAGTGTATTTGTTTTTCCCGGTGTTTATCCACACAGATGAGAAAAAACAAACAACGTCAAGCTATCATGAACCAAGCTATCATGCTGATGTGTACCCTCCAATTTACTAAGATGGAAGTGAAAAAACGCCCCCTGTTTCTACAGGAAAGTGAATCGGTCTTCTGAACTCGGGCCCGGGCCATCGGGGCCCATGCCATCCACGGAACGGCCGGCACGTGAGCGGCCCATCGATCGCGCCCGTGATCGATCACCTCATCCACTGCCGCTGCCGCCATGAACCTCCCTAGTAGCTTCTTGTTACTACTAGTAAGAAGTGCCACGCTAGTAGTAACAAGTGCCTTACTAGTAGTAACAAAACGCTATTAGAATTACAATTTAAAATCAAATTAAATTAATAGCTTCTTGTTACTACTAGTAAGGCACTTGTTTCTACTAGCTTATGGTTTCTAGTAGCTTCTTGTTACTACTAGTAAGGCACCTGTTACTACTAGTAAGGCACTTGTTACTAGTAAGCTTCTTGTTACTACTAGTAAGGCACTTGTTACTAGTAGCGTGGCA